CCACCATGGGGATTAACACCCACCCCCTGTATCACCCCAGGGCTTGATGCCCCCCCCTTGGGGGTCAGTGTGCCCCTTGTAGCAGTTAACCTTCTCCCCACTGTGGCACCCCAGGGGTTAATCACCCCCCCACACCCCCCCCGTGGCGGTTAATGCCCCACATCGGGGGGGTTACTGTTCTCCCCTCGTGGTGCACCAGGAGTTAATCCCTCCTTGGGGGGGTTAACGACCCTTGGTGGCACCCCAGGGGTTAATACCTCCCCCCCCCCCCAAGCATTTCGGAGTAACAACCCCGGCGGGAGGGGGATCTGCCCCCCTCCCCAAGATATCCAGGAGGTACATACCCCCACCCCCAAGGGGGTTGATGCCCCTCTCCCCAAGGGGTTAAACACCCCTCGGGGCAATACTGCCCCTCCCCTAGGGGTGGCTCGGGTGACCGCTCCTTTGCTCTGGGTGCCCCCCCGGAGGGCTGGGTTCTCCCGGGGGGTCTCTGCCCCCCCCATCCTCCAAGGGATCGGTGCCCCTTCAGGGCTGGGCTTCCCCCCCCAGGGCTGGGAGCCCCCCCAGGGGTCGGTGGTCCCTCCCCAGCGCTGGGAGCCCCTCGGGGGTCGCAGCCCCCCCAGACAAAGGGCGCGGGGGCACAAAGGGCGGGGGCGGGGCGGGCCGTCGGGGGTTAACGGGCCGCCGCCCGTCACCGTGGCGACCGGCGCGGGGGGAGGACTTAAAGCGGCCGCGACACCGCGGGCACCGGGCGGGACGCGGCCCCGCTGCTCGGTGCCACTCGCTGAAGGGGGGAGGCTGTCCTCTCCCAGCCTGGCGGTCTGGGGTCCCCCACGGCCACGAGAGGCTGCTGGCCTTGGTGTGTGTGTGGGGGGGGGGGGGCACTGCGGGGCCCCCACGGCTGAGCTTAGCTGTGATCCCCCTTCCCCCCGGGTGTCCTGCCTGTGTCACCCCATGGACGCTGTGTGTGTGCGTCCCCCCCCACGGCCGTGGGTCACCCCCTGCCAGCCCCACAGCGCCGTGGCGGTGTGCCATCAGGCGGCGGTGGCTGCGGTGGCAGCGGTGGTGGCCCAGGTTGTGGCGGGAAGGACAGGGACACCCCACGTGGTGCCGCCGCAGGCGATGCCGCATCCCCCAACATGGAGGAGCCGCTCTGTGGTGAGGCCGTGATGGCGATTCAAGGGCTTTCCCGGGGCTTCCTGTGGGGTGACACCGGCGGGGATGGTGGGGCTGCCAAACCCTGAGTGTACTGGGCTCTGCTGTTCCCTGAGGGTGGGTGCCCTCCCCAGCCACGTCCCTGGGGGGTGCTGGGACCCCCCCACTGCAGTGTCCAAACTGCCCCTTCTAAACAGTGCAGCCTCTGGCTGTGACAGGGGCTGGGGAGAGTTGGGGACAGGTGACCTCAGGCAGGTGCCACCAGGTGCTCTCTAAGCCCACAGGCAGTTACAAACCCCCCTCTCCCTCCTGCAGCATCGGGGAGGATACTGAGTTAGGGACTCCCCAAATTCTCTGTTTGCCCAGAGAAGCTGTGGCTGCCCCGTCCCTGCAAGTGTCCAAGGCCAGGTTGGATGGGGCTTGGAGCAACCTGGGACAGTGGAAGGTGTCCCTGCCCATGGCAGGGGGTGGGACTGGATGGGCTTTTAAGATCCATTCCAACCCAAACTGCTCTATGATTCTGTTGGAATCCCCCCATCAAACTGAGCCCTCCCTCACCTGCCCTGCAGCTCCTGGCGCGGATCGAGCGCATGGAAAGGCGGGTGCAGCTGGTGAAGAAGGACAGCGAGCGGGAGAAGCACCGCATCTTCCAGGGCTTTGAGGTGGATGAGAAGCCGGAGGCAGAGGCATGTGAGAAGCTGCCCCTAGAGTGCCCCCAGGACCTGCTGGAGCCCCCCCCGACCCTGCAGCCCAAGCACTTCCCCTACGGCAGGAACGGGAAGGGGCATAAAAGGTACGGGTTCCTGGGGGGCTGTGTGGGGGAAAGGGGAGACATTCCCCATGGCTTTACTCTCTGTCCATGGGGCTGGCACTGCCCAGCGACCCTTGAGCTGCTCAGAGAGGCTGCCCAGCACCAGGAACACATCCCTGCATCCAGGAGAACCTGGTGAAAGCCTGGGTGGGGAGTGGGGGGGGGGGGGGGCGCCCGAAATTCCAGGGGAGCCCCTCTGGAAACTGTCTTGCCCTGATGCAACTGCCCAGATTTGGGGGTGCTGGACCGCCCCATGGTGGCCCTGGCGCAGGGTGAGGATCCACGTGCCCAGCTCAGCTCCTCTCCCTCCTGCAGGAAGCCGACGTTCGGGAGCGCGGAGAGGAAGACGCCCGTTAAAAAACTGGTGTCGGAGTTCCCCAAAGTGAAGAGTAAAACTCCAAAGCACTCCCCGGGGAAAGAGGAGTCGGGTGGCTCCTTGGCCGAAACTGTTTGTAAACGAGAACTGCGGAGCCAAGAGACTCCGGAAAAACCCCGGTCGCTCCTGGAGACCCCGCTCCGAGCCTCGGCCCCGCCGAAGGGCCCCGGCGCCCACCCCAAGGAGAAGGGCTTGGGCAGCGAGGCCGACGACCTGCCCTATCTCTCCACCACCGAAATGTACTTGTGCCGCTGGCACCAGCCGCCCCCGTCGCCGCTGCGGGAGCCTTCCCCGAAAAAGGAGGAGACTGTAGCAAGTAAGGATGGAGAAGCTGCTAGGGCTGAGCTGGCCAGGGAATGCGGCTCGGCACCTTCATCCTGAACCCGGGGCAGGGCTCCCAGATTCCCAAAGGGAGTGCCCGTGGCACTGGGAGAGGTGCCACACTGCTGGCTCCTTCCACGGCGGTGGGTGCCGGCTCTGGGCTCTCCCAGATCCCGTCTGTGGCTCACCCCGCTCTGGGCAGGGCTCCTGGCTCCTGCCATCGTGCCACAGCACCGGGGTCACCCGGTGCCTTCGTGCCAGGTGGCCAGTGCTCCGGCGTGGGGAGAGCTCAGCACGTCCCTGAAAGTGGCTCAGGTTTGCTCGTGTGCTTGGCCGAGGGGGTGGCGACAAGCTCTGCCTTCCCCCCAGACCCCCATCATCTCCCGCCGCAGCAGCATCGCCCAGCCTGGCTTGGGATGGGGGTTTGGGAGATCCCAAACTGTGCTTCAAGGGAGGGATAGGTGGGAAATGTGGGGCAGGGGCTGTGGAGGTGCCAGCGTGGGGTAACAGCTTCCCTCTCGTCCCGCAGTTCCGTCTTGGAGGGACCATGTCGTGGAGCCCCTGAGAGACCCCAACCCCTCGGACCTCCTGGAGGTACGTGAGCCATCCCACAGCAGCTCCCATCGGAGCTGGCGGTGCCACAGGGGCCTTCTGGGCTGTTCCACACTCCTGGAATGGGAGGGGGAAGGACCAGGCCCCTCTTGGAGCAGGATCTGGCACCGGGATGACGCACTGATCGCTGTCCGGTGTCGTTTCAGAACCTGGACGACAGCGTCTTTTCCAAACGGCATGCGAAGCTGGAGCTGGATGAGAAACGAAGGAAAAGGTGGGAACAAAGGGACTGGCAGGGGTCTGGGGTCCCTGGTCCTGCAGGGGATGGTCTTGGGGTGCCACTCAGAGCAGGGAGACAGGACAGGGTGCAGCTGGGAAGGGAACTGGGAATGCTGTGGGAGGAGGGATGCTCCTGCATCACTGGCAGCTGGCACAGCCCCCTCATCCAGCTGGGAGGGTCTGGCACTGCTTGTGGCTCCTCACTTTCCCCTCCATCCTGTTTTTTCCAGGTGGGACATCCAGCGGATCAGGGAACAGAGAATCCTACAGCGGCTGCAGCTCCGAATGTACAAAAGGAAAGGGATTCAGGAGTCGGAACCTGAAGTTACCTCATTTTTCCCTGAGCCAGATGACGGTGAGCCGGGGGCCAGGGGTGTTGGGGTACAGACAGGGGGTGCAGACAGGGAGGGGTCTCACACTCTGGTGTCTCCCACAGTGGAAAGTTTGCTCATCACCCCGTACCTGCCCGTCGTCGCCTTTGGCCGGCCCCTACCCAAACTGACCCCACAGTGAGTACGGGGGATGCGTGAGGGGACGGGGCTGGGCTGTGCCTCAGTCTGGTGTCACCCCTGGGAGGGCACTGGTTGATCTGGTGCCACCGGCTGTGCCCGCAGGAACTTCGAGCTGCCATGGCTGGACGAGCGCAGTCGCTGCCGGCTGGAGGTGCAGAAGAAGCAGACGCCGCACCGGACCTGTCGGAAATAACGGGGGCTCCGGGAGCTCCGAACGCCCGCTCCGTGCCGACGGATGGTTTCGTTCCTCTGCCATCCCAGTTTTGTTCTCTTGGGTTTTGGGACGTTCTCCGGACTCGTTCCCTCCTCCCCTGCGCTGGCACTGGCCGAGGCTCCGCAGCGGCTGCTCCGCTCCCGTGGCCTTGGGATTTGGGATATCGCCGTGGGGATCAGCAGGGCCCAGTCCTGGTGTCTGGGGGTGCCGTGTCCCCTCGGGACTCGCCCGCCGCCGCCTTCGTGTTGCGTTTAGTTAGAAAACGGGATAAACAACGGGTTTTTGTCGGAGCCAGACGGGAACTGGGAAGTTGGAGGCGCCTGGGAGCCACTTTTGGGGTGTTTTTCCCCAGTCTTTGGGGAGTTTTCCCCCCTCCTCTGGAGTGTGTTGGCGGGGGCAGAGGGGGGAGAGTTAAAAAGCAAAAATTTTTTTTTTTTTTTTTTTTGTGAAATAGAAACCCTGTGCGCACAATTTGGGGGGTTTTAATGAATTTTTTTTTTTATATATATATATAATTTAAATGTTTTCGAGGCGGGTGAGGGGTGTGCTGTGAGGGGGGTGGGGGGGTATTCCCTGGCTGAGCCCCCCGGGTGCTGTTGGACCCCTCTCGGTGCTGGGACCCGACACTGTGGCGCTGGATGGGTGGGGAGGGGGGCTCTATGGGGGAAGCTCCGTGTGTATCTTTTTTCCTTCTCCCTTTTTTCCCTTTACCCCCTTTTTCCTGCTTTTTTTCGCCCTTTTCCCCCCTTCTTTCCCCTCTCCTTTCCCCCCCTTTTCCTGCTCTTTTCCCCCATGCTTTTTCTCCCTTTTCCCCCTCTTTTTCACCCCCTTTTTCCTCCCCCTCACACTGACCCCACAACCCCC